TTTTGTCTATGAAGATCAGGAGCTGATACTGAATCAATTTCAATCACTTAAGGCAAAGCTCAACAAATCCCAGGCACAAGGCCACCTAAAATCTTTATTGTGGCACCTAGCACTTTCAGCTAGATGATTTTATTGCACTGTCTCTCGGCAATCCTCAATGGAATTACAGAGGTTAATTAATTAATTATTGTGCAGCCGTGGGTGTAAAGATTGTCTGGCAGCCTGAAACTCTAGCTCTTTTTGTGGCAAGCTAGGTTTATTTGGGGGACTGAGAGAACTGTGACTGGCCCAAGGTCACCCAGCTGGCTTCAAGTGGAGGAGTGAGGAATCGATCTCAGTTCTCCAGATTAGAGTCCACTGCTCTTAATCACTACACTAAACGGGTACAGAGGAGATCGATCATTTCACTTCAGAATTTTTTTTGCTATATCATATGAAATGCATTAAGTTCATGCTGCTGCTTGCTTATATATTTACTTCATTCAGTGGTGATAAATAATCTCTTAACCAGCTGCTTTCAATACTGGCTCCAATAATCAATTATATTAAGCTTATCAAAGTAATCATGAAATAAAGAGAAATCGCAAAAAAATTAGGCTGGGATTAGAGGTTAGTTTTTTCCTTTGGTGAAGACAACCAAAGGTATGACGTATTTACAACATTTTGTCAGAACTTTATGAGAAACTGTGAAGGGTTTAAGGATTAATATTTTGCAGTAGTAATAAGTAGAATTTGCGGGCTGGTTCCTAAAGCCGAAGAAAATTTGTCAAGGCCTGATTTAGGGTCTCTCTTGTCATAGTCTAGCAGAAAATACTACCCTGGGAATCTAGTGTCTACTATCACAGTTAAGTGTTAGTAACAAGAAAAGTCTCCCCCTGATTGTATAAATCATGTTCATTAGATCTCTATTTTTCACCTCCAGCCTTTTTACACAAAATGGATCAAACACCACTGAAATATTAACCACAGTTGCTTCTGTGGGTTCCTGATATAACAAGCATCAGCTTTCCTTGCTCTATATTATTGCCACTGTTACTGGCATTCCTTCAGAAGGAGATATCTTGCTTCCATTTAAAGGCAACTAAAAGCTGTTCCTATATGGGCCTAACTTCTGCCCTTAAGTATCCAGTCATCTCTCAATTCCAACATTCCTGCATACAACACAGGGCTGCAATATGGCAGTCAGAAGAATGTCATGACCAAATTAAGCTCCCTTAACATGTTGTAATACAAGTTATAAGCTCCAAGCATGTTGTAATATAGTTAGTGTGCCCGTTTGACCACGGAGACATGGGCCCAAATCCTTCATTGTGCCATGAAGCCCCCTGGGAAACCTTGGGCCAGTCACTGTCCCCCAGCCTAATATACGTAGTACAGTTAATTGAGATGACCTTGTGTACTGTACCCTGGAGGAATGAAATGGGGGGGAGTGTATGTAACAAATCAGTAGAAGCCACAGAAATCAAAAAGGACCCTTGCTGTTAAACCATATGCACAAAGCAATGGCAACCTTTATTTCCTAAACAACTGAATAGGAATTGTCCCCAACATTTAACTTTAGTTGGGGTGCAGCAAGATTTAGTCATCGCAGGACCAATTCTAAGCAAAGCAACAAGCAAAATCACAAATCAAGAGTACTCTGAGTGAAGGTCCAGCCAATCCACTCAATTGTTTTGCTTCAAGAGCACAATCTTCCTGGTCAAGGCAGACTTCAATGCAGAACTGAAGATTATCTTTAAGATTAGCCTCACTTCCATCTACCCACTTCAGCACTCTCCAGGATTAAAAGACATCAAAACCTCTTTTGAAAAGCAGGAATCATGAGATTCACCGAGGGAAGACTAGACTGGTCCTGGCATCAGCCTGAGAAGGAGTAGATGCAAAAGCTGAACTTTGCAGAACTGCCAGTTACCCTGAGACTTCAAATGTGAGGAGACAGATCCACTAGCCTCTACCACCAGCAAAAGGTCGAAAGCATGCTCAGAAGAGCTTTCTAAAAAAAAAAAATACATAACCTACTGTCATCAACCCCAAGCACCATTTGATTGAATGGACAAGCATAAATCTTGAAACTGTATTTATTTCATCTATATTCCACTTCTCCTTCTTCACAACAGCTCCCTGGAAGTATCACATTCACTTGCCCCATTTCTACCTCCCCTTTCTCCCCCTCTGGAGAAACCAAAGTAACATGCATAGTCAGTGTGATCTAGTGGTTAGGATGTAACTTTTGAGTGTGAGAAGCTTGGGTTTAAATCCCTATTCGGCCACAAAAACTCAGTGAGTGAGCCTGAGGTAGTCACTGCCTTTCACCCAAGCCTGTCTCACAGGACCATCCTGGGGGCATAGAACAGGGAAGAGGCACCAGAGGAAGGGCTGGCCTGGATAAAGGTATACTAGACAGTCAGGGGCACTGGAGGCCTCCCATACAGGTAAACCAGATCAAGATAGGTAGCGGTGTTAGTCTGTCTTTAGTACCACCTTGAAGACTAGCAAAATATGTGGCAAACACAGAAGAAGCTGAAGAATTTATTGTTACTAATAAAAGACTAACTTACTAATTAAGATACCACTCACCACTTTTCTTAATCCCGCTGTATACCCTTCCCCTTTCTGCAAATTTTAAAGCAATAAAATTCTCTCCTCTTTAGGAGAGTTAACTATTAAATATATATATATATATATGTGGCAGGATATGAGCTTTTGTAAGCCACTGCTCACTTCAGTGACTCACGGAAGCTCCTACCCTGCCACACAATTTGTTAGTCTTTAAGGTGCTACTAGACTCTCGCTCTTGTCGTCTACTGCAGCCAGACCAGAGGCCACCTGTCGCATCAAGCTCCTTCAAGCCACGCCCCGTATCCGAGAGTATACAATATACTAAGTGAGACTCATTCCTCCCCATATGCACATGGGAACCGTCATGGCCAGTCTCTCTCCCTCCCTTCTTTCCGAGACATCGGTCCGCCGATGGAGCTCAGGCTAGCCAAACTACCCTTTCACGCTGGTCCGTCCCTGTGACCCCCTTCCAAAGCTCACCAGCCCGTCGATCTGCACTTGCTTCACGGCGGAATCGCCTGGGGCTGCTTTGCCTTTCGCTTTACTGCCGCCTGCGGAAGAGGAGCCGGTGCCGGCTGCTTCCTTACGAGACGCCATCTCTAGAGAAAGAGCACACCGCCCGGAAAGGAAAGAGGAAGTCTCCGGGAATGGTGTTCGGCGACTTCTACTTCCGGGTGGGAAAGCAGTCCTCGCGGGAAGGTTCCGCGAAGCAAAACCGAAGCTCCTTGTTGCGCAAGCGCAAAAGGACAGGAAGCGCCAAGGCTGCCGAACTTCGGTTTTAAAGCGCGTGCGCAATCATGTTTATGCAGCCTTCCTACCCTCACTCAGCCCCTTTGATTCAGCCAGATTTCAAGTAGGAGCCAGCTGCGCAGAATTATTGCCGAGCTACAGAGTATGGAAATTTAGTTGCACGTGCAAACGGGGGAACGTTTCGCGCCCCCCCCCCCATAACTTTTTAAAGAACCACTAACGGGAGCTGGAGGAGCCGAAATGACCTCTCGCAATCATAGACGGAGTTATACCCGAGAGGTGGAATTTGCTCCTAGAAGTCCAAGGCCACCACCCCGTGGCTCAGGAGGCCGTTTCACCCCCTTCCCCCACGGCCGTTGCAGCCGCGCCATCGGTGGTCATAACTTTTTAAGGAGCCCCTAACTAGAGCTGGGGGAGCCGAAATGACCTCACACGCCAGAGGTGGAATTTGCCCCTAGGAACTTGCTCCCCCGTCGGGGGCCATAACTTTTTAAAGAGCCCCTAACCAGAGCTGGGGGAGCCGAAATGTCCTCTCGCAATCATAGACGGAGTTATACCCAAGGCGTCAGTCTATTTAGGACTGCATTGTAGTACAGTCACCGTTCACAGTTTTAGGCTGTAATCCTAAAAACACTTTCTGGGGAACAAGCCCTATTCACTAAAACGGGACTTCCTTATGAGTAGACCTATTTAGGATTGCTCCCCTAGCTACTTCACTTCATCTGAAGAGGGGGCCTCCTCCAGTCCGGGCTAATTAAGTCTGTAAAGTGCAACTGGACTTCTGGTTACTACGTATTTTAATACATCCCTCACTGGTAACCAATGTTCCCTCTAAGCTGTGAAGCCTTCTGAGCAAAAATTCTACTTTGTGAGCTACTGCCATTAAAGTTGTGAGCAAGCGACTTGGCTACTGCATAAATTAGTTTGATCTGGAGCCATCCTTCCTGAGCTAAGACAAAAATGTGTGAGCCGGAGGTTAAAAATCTGTGAGCTAGCTCACACTAACTCAATTTAGAGGGAACACTGCTGGTAACATCGGATTACGGTGACATTAGCTGGAGTAAAACAAAAGTTTGAGTCCAGTGGCACCTTTAAGAACAACAAAGATTGATTCAGGGTATGACCTTCCGCGTGCACGCACGCTTCTTCAATTGGAAGGCAAGGCACCCTATTAAACTGGATCTTCATGGATTCGCTGGAGTAATCTGCCTTAAAAACTACTGTTAATAATTATGCAGAGGTGGCGAAAATAATCTCTTTAGCTGAAGATGACAGCAGGAAACCTTAGAACAATGTTTGAGTCCAGTGGCACCTTTAAGACCAACAAAGTTTAATTCATGTTTAATGCACACGAAAGCTTATACCCAGAACTAAACACTGTTGGTCTTAAAGGTGCCCCTGAACTCAAACTTTGGTCTGCTGCTTCAGACCAACACGGCTATCCCACCTGAATCTATCAACAGGAAACCTTCTTAGACATTCCCTACAGCGCTCGACCAATGGATTTTAAAAACTAGGCGGGGGGGGGGGGCGGGCTTTAAGGAAGTCCCTACAGCGCTCGACCAATGGATTTTAAAAACTAGGCGGGGGGGGGGGCGGGCTTTAAGGCAGCTCTACTGCGCGTGCGTGAAATGTTAAGTTTTCCGGCACAGCAGTTGCACTTCCAGGTGAACGGAGGAGGAAACTGAAAAGCAGCCCTGTGGGCGCTCCTCTAGTGCTGCGGGCAGCGATGAAGATCACGCGGCAGAAGCACGCCAAGAAGCACATGGGCTTCTACAAATACAACTTCGGCTTCCGGGAGCCTTTCCAAGTGCTGCTGGATGGGACCTTCTGCCAAGCGGCGCTGCGCAACAAGATCCAGATCCGGGAGCAGCTGCCCGGTTACTTGGCTGGCCCCACGCAGCTTTGCACGACCCGGTAAGCGGGCGCAGGGAAAGAAGCCGAGGGAGCTCGGCCAGTGCTGTGCGCACATGCGTGCGGGACTACGGAGGAGGGAATTGGAATGGGGCGGGGGTGCGCTTTGCCATCATGTATGTGTCTGCCCTTTTAACATTTCAGGAGAGGTGCCATTTTAGGGAGGGGGGGGGGAGGTCCGAGTTCTGCGACGTAGGGGTTTCCCATGGGTTGGAAGGAGTGCGGTGTAGTGGTTACAGTGTCAGACTAGGATTTGGGCGGTCTGGGTTTAAATCACGAGTTGCTCGTGAAGTTCACTGGGTGATCTTTAGCCAGTCTTCCTGAACTACCCCACCGCGGGGGGGGGGGGGGGGTTCTTTGGAAGAGCTAGTGTGGTGTGGTGGTTAAAGCGTTGGACTAGGATCTGGGGAATTTGAGTTTGAATGCTCACTCACTCATGGGAACTTGCTGGATGACTTTGGGCAAGTTGCACACTCTCAGCCTAACCTACCTCACAGGGTCGTTATGAGGATAGAACAGGAGAGGAGAGTGATGTCAGTGGCTTTGGGTCCCCATCAGTGTTCCCTCTAAGCTGAGTTAGTGTGAGCTAGCTCACAGTTTTTGTCCTGGCTCAGGAAGGTTGTCTCCAGAGCAAACGGAGCTTATGCAGTAGACAAAGTGCTCACTCACAACTTTAATGCCAGTAGCTCACAAAGCAGAATTTTTGCTCACAAGACTCCACAGCTTAGAAGGAACATTGGTCCCCATGGGTGAGAAGGGTGGTATATAAATTAAGTAAATAAATAATAACAAGAAGAAGGGGGGGGGGGTCAGAGGTCTGCTTCAAGTGAGGGGAAATCTGAAAACTGCTCCCCATTTGTCCATGGAAATCCTCTGACAAATCTGGGTTCTGACTGTGTTGGGAGAAAGGTGGGGTATATAAGTACTGTAACTAAAATTGGAGGCAAAAAGGTGGCAAATGCAGGGTTTAATTCAGATATAATCAGGGTTACTTCTTTAGCACCCTGACCAGGATCGCCCGGGCTAGCCCTATCTCATCAGATCTCAGAAAGTAAGTAGAGTTGGTCCTGGTTAGTATTTGGATGGGAGACCACCAAGGAAGTCCATGGCTGCCGTGCAGAGGCATGCAATGGTAAACCACCTCCGTTAGTCTCTTCCCCTGAAAACCCTGAGGGGTCGCCGTAAGTCAGCTGCAAACTTGACAGCACTTTCCACCACCATTTCTTTAGAATGAAAGACCTCTGTATGTGACCGATCTGTCAGTGCACACTTACCACTTTTTATCTAATTTTCACTCTAGATGTGTTCTAAAAGAATTGGAGTCCTTAGGAAAGGAATTGTACGGTGCCAAGCTAATTGCACAGAGATGTCAAGTGCGCCACTGCTCTCACTTCAAAGAGCCAGTGAGCGGTTCGGCCTGCCTGTTGTCCATGGTGGAGGGTGGCAACCCACACCATTACTTCATTGCTACGCAGGTAAGATCCTTTCCCTTCAGCTTCTGTGAACAAAGTTACTAACCCTCTGCTTTGCAGCTTGGAGCGGGATGAGTTGCTGATGATATTGGCAGGGGTGGCCAAACGTGGTTAACGTAAGAGCCACATAGACTAAACGTCAGATGTTTGAGAGCCATAAGACATGACCAAATATTACACACGTGTTTTTATTGAAAAATATGCAGATTTGTTTTTAATAATATTAAATTGATAACTTTAGATGGGGAGAGAGAGAGAGAGAAAAGATGGGGGAGGGAAAAAGAGATGGAAAGAAAGCAACTTAAATGTTAAATGTGTCCTCCAAGCCCCCCCTTGCCCCCACACCGGGTAGCTTGGGTTGGAGAAGGGATTTAAAGAGACAAATGCTTAGCTGTTGGGAGGGGAGGGCTTTGAGAATGCATTTAAGTTAGAGTTGCTTTCTGTCTCTGCACTGGCTGGGGAAGGGAAGAGCAATTGAGGAGGCATGCCTCCCATAAGAACATAAGAGAAACCAATATTGGATCAACACTCTGTGGTTACTAACACTCTGCTTTGCAGCTTGGAATGGGATGAGTTGCTGATGGTATTAGGTGGTGGTGGCTTTTCCCACAACAGAATAAATGGAATATTGTCCACTGGTATGTAATAAGGGAGCACTCACTGGAGAAGACCCTGATGCTGGGAAAGATTGAAGGTCAAAGAAGACGGGGACGGCAAAGGATGAGATGGTTGGACAGTGTCATCGACGCAACGAACATGAAATTGAGCCAACTTCAGAGGACAGCGGAAGACAGGAGGGCCTGGCGGGAGCTGGTCCATGGGGTCGCGAAGAGTCGGACTCGACTGTGCGACTGAACAACAATGTAATAACAGCCTGGCTCAAAAATATTTGTGCTTTTCAGCCTTGCTGAGTAAAAGTGGGACTTGGGTATGCTTCTATTAAAAGCAGGTCTCCTTGGGACTACAGCCTTTGTTTATTTTTATCGCACCCTCCCTCCATGAAGCCGAAATTATTATTTCTGTACCCTGTTGATGTATATATAGAATGGGAATCCCACAGCACTTTATCCCCATAACTCTGTGAGATTGGGAGAGGGAGTGTGTTTGTGTGTGTGGTCCAAGATCACTCCGTAAACTTCATGACTGAGTAAGGGTTTGAATTTGGGACCCACCAGTCCTTGTCTGATAGTCTAACCCTGCCCCAAACATGCTGTCTTTGGGAACTGTGGTACCTCCCAGTGTGTTCCTGGTACTCATTTTCTTCTTCTCCCCAAATGGGTTACTAAAGCTTTCTATTTCCCAGTTGTCACTTGCTGTATGGCAGCTGTTAATTTATTTTAGGATATTAAAAACCAGTTTACTGCTATGTATGTGTAAAGTGCTGTCAGGTTGCAGCTGACCTTTGGCAACCCCTGTAGGGTTTTCTAGGCAAGAGACAAACAGAGGTGGCTCGCCATTGCCTGCCTCTGTGTAGCAACCCTGGGCTTCCTTGGTGGTCTCCCATCCCGGTACTGATCAGGGCTGACCCTGCTTAGCTTCTGACATCTGATGAGATCAGGCTAGCCTGAGTAAGGTCAGGTCAAAGCCTGCTGCTATAACTGTAAGAAATGTAGGAGGATGATCAAGGGAAGAAAATTAGGGTTTTTTTCCCTGCCTCTTACTAGTATTTTTTAATAGTATGATCGACCCTAGTTTGTCTTCTAGTTGTACAACTTGTACAAAACTTGGGCTGTTTTATGCGTATATTTGTTTGCTTGCTCTTGATAGGACCAGGTTCTGGGAACCAAAGTGAAGAAAAGGGCCGGCATCCCTCTTCTCTTCATTATCCAGAACACCATGGTGCTGGACAAACCTTCTGCCAAATCTCTGGCAGCGGCACAAGCGACGCAGACCCATCAGCTGATCCCAGAGCATCAGAAACTGAGCATTGTGCAGCTCAAAGAACAGCAGGGCCTGGGGAAGGCCCCAGAGCCCCAGAAGAGGAAACAGAAAAGAGCCAGTGGCCCCAACCCTCTCAGCTGCTTGAAGAAAAAGAAGAAAACACAAGAGACCCCACAGCCTTCAGCAGCCAAGAAGAGAAATCGGAAACGCAGCAAAAGAAAATTGGGGATTCCAGCTGATGCTGTGCAGTCGTGATAACAGATTTCCTCCAAGGCAACTGTACTGGCTTCATAATTTTGCAAACCTGGTGTAAAGGCAGTGGGTTGGATCCAAGGTACCAGGAGAATTTTCCGGCCTTCCTGCCTCACTGCGTCCCACTCCTTGGATGTGCTCTGAGGGGTTTGTAGGTGGGAGGGAAGATTGGGCAAAAAATCCAACACACTGGCGGAAACATTATCTTTGTATCCAATTCATTTTCTTCTGCTCAACTGATACAAAAATACATTTATGGATTTCCTTTTCTAAAAAAAATCTGATTTTATATTGTGTATAATATTTGTAGATAAAAGCAGGATTTTTCCTTGCCGCCACATTTTAGTGATATTGTTAAACTGAGCCTTGAACCACAAAATTGGGCAGACCTTTTATATAAACAAGCCTGTGCTGTTCTCAGAAACATTAGGTGTCAGAACTGAAGGGAAAAGGCAAAGGGGTAATCGTTCTAAAGCTCTACTCGGGGGAGGATGTCATACTAGAAAGTATTTCAGAGTTGGTATGCTGTTTGTCTAGAGGTGCACTCTCTTGCTAAAGTATGCCAGGAGTAAAAACCCTTTCTTTTTTAAATGGAGAAGAGCCACAGGTACCAGTTGCAGTGGCTTGAATGTAGAGATGTTATTCGTTGATTAAAATGTGTATATTCTGCCTCTCCGTGTCGTTCAAGGCAGCTTATAATAACTGTTAAAAACCTTTTGGTGTAGTGGTTAAGTGTGCGGACTCTAATCTGGGAGAACCGGGTTTGATTCCCCACTCCTCCACTTGCACCTGCTGATGTGACCTTGGATCAGTCACAAGCTCTGGCACAACTGTCCTTGAAAAAGAGCAGTTTGTGTCAGAGTTCTCTCAGCTCCACCCACCTCACCAGGGTGTCTGTTGTGGGGTGGGGAAGGGAAAGGAGTTTGTAAGCTGCTCTGAGACTCCAAGTGAAGGGCGGGGTATAAATCCAATCTCTTCTTCTTCTTTTCAGTTAAAAATCAAAATAATAATAAACAATTAAAATCAGAACAGCAAGACCTAAACAAGAGC